GAAAAATGCAGCTCACCTCGCTGCAGTCAGCCCCCATTTTTTTAATCCCATTAAGAGCTGTAGAGTGTAAATAGACTTTTCAGAATGTTTGGGAGGTTTTACTTCAGTTCATATGGTGCTTTTGATGGTTCACTTCTCATTTAAATACTCTGTAAATTCCTGGCCTTCAGTTGTTCCAGTGAGTTTGTCTTCCTGGACTTAATTCTTGCTGTGACAATGCTTATGCAAGTGTCCTTGTAGATGAACTGGATGCTGAGTTTAATAGTACTATAGATGCGAGTTGGGAGGGGAGAGGAAATATATGCTAGAAAATAATAATAACGAGATGCACCTTTCTTCCCCATTCTGAGACTGTCCTTTGGTTGTTGTTCCAGGGAGGAGGGAATTGCAATATTGATGAAAAAATCCTTATGAGTTTGCTCGACACCAGCTGTGAAAGGGAGGCCACTGTTCCTTCACCTTTCCATGCTGTGAAATTCAACAATGTGGAAGCAGAGCAGACAAAAGAGCCAGGAGATTTCACCTTCCCAATTAGCTGTCAAGATTTCTCTTCACCTGAGAAGCCTGCCCTGCCAGGTTAAGGTAAGAGCCCACATTTACATTTCCTGAAGTCTAATTGGAGTAGATGGCGTTTATTTAAGTTATTATAGGGTATTATTTAGGGCTCAACCATACAGTCTTTCTGCTGGTCAGACTGTAGAGGCTTCTCAGCAGTTTTGCTTATATGCAAAGTCAGTGAGATCAGCAGAAAAATGTGGTTGAATACTGTGTAAGCTTTGGATTAGGTAAAGGACATGATGTCTGACCCATCTCAAGATGTGGTTTGTTAGATGAGTTGGAGCTTCAAGAGGTCTTCAGTCCCTAGTGTATGTGTGGCACTGATGTAAGGGAGCAGGGTGACTGGTGGAGGTGTCAGCAGGGAGAAGCAGCTGAGGCACAGCACAGTCCCTACCTTTCCCATTACTTGCTTTTCTTGCTGTGTCTTCTTTTAATCTTTGAATATATAATCAAAGGCCATGTATGGTTGAGGTCAAAAATGGAGGAGGATTTTAGGGAAAATATTTGCTGGGGAGGACTTTAGTTAAGAGGTTGAAGTTGGGCCAGTTCTGCCTTAACTGAAAGTTAATTTTGAAGTAGAATAACATTTATTCAGCCTGTGGCTCCCAAAGTATGAACCTCACAGACTTCCCTCCCAGGTTCTCCCAAAAAAGTTTTTTTAAAAAAAAAAAAGAAAAAGAAAAAAGAAGGTCAGATGACTTGAGGATAGTGATTCCCAGAAGTAGCCTTTAATAGTGTTTGCCTTTAGGGAGATTAGAAAAACATACTAGTCAGACATTCTCATCAGCCATCACCTTTATATTGTATAGTTCTAGGGTGCAAGATCATCCTTGGTAGACCCTTCAGAGGTGGGAATTCAGATGCTGGGACAGTGTCTGTATTGTCTGTGGCTTGAGGTACAAATGCTGCCATGATGTAAGAACACTGCAATAGTGGTTATCTCAAGTCCCTTCCCAAACAAAGTGGGATAAGATCAGGTATGCAGCTTGGTATCTTGATCCAAAAATGTGGAGAAAACAGAAAGCAGACAAACCAGCAATCAGCAGCCTTGGGAATGATGCAAAGAATGATCTGAAAGGGTACTGTGAATGTAAAAAAAGTGGTATTGTTCTTTTGTGACACAGTCATGAGAAAGATGTTTATGATGAGAATGTCTCTGGGCACTGAGTTGTGCCTGACAGCCACAAACAGGTGTTGTCCAAGCCTGTGTTCTCTAAGCTGGTTCAGAGAGGCTTGTTCATGTGCCTAATGGCACCTGTATGTGGACAATAAATAGCTCTAGAAGGCAAAAAAGCACAAATCAAGATTTAGTTGAAGTAACAGTTGTAAATCTAGTTCCTTGAATGCTCTTGGTATCATACGTGCCCAAAAAGGATTCGTATGCTGTAAGCAAGTTAATTGGTGTTCCAGAAGGTTTTAGGATGTTTTATGTTAGTTTTTTTTTACTGTAATACCTGTCTTGACAGAGGTGCTGGTTTCAGCTCTGGTACACAGTGTTATTAACAATATTTTGCAGAGCAGGCAGGTAATTTTTCTGCTGCTGGGTTTATTTATAAGCAGGTTTATTTTCTTTGTGATTTAAAATTATATATATATCCTTCACCTTCACACTTAATACATGGACAAAAGGGAAGATGTTTGTGCTCTAGAGGGCAGCCCTTCCAAAGGTAAAACTGAGGAGTTGTGTGTGAATGGAATCATGACACATGCAAAAGGCTAGTGGGACAAATGACAAGCCCTTTGCATGTCACTTGGGGTATTGTATGACAAAAATGCTGTCTGCAAGACAAAGGATTAAGCTTTGCAGGGAGGATGCCTGGCAACAGCTGAGCTCAGAAGAACACAAAGGCAAAGGCTGCCACTAAAAACCGTAGCCTGTTATTTATTCCTATGGCAAAAACAGCTAATAAAGACAGCTGAAGCCTTTCCAGTGCAGGAACTGGGCTGTCCCATAGCCCTTTGGCCTGCTTGGGAGTTAAACTGCAGCTCTACCTGGTTGGTGATGGTCATAAGCTGCTTGCTTTGCTGAATTCCCTGCTGTGAAACAATGTCTTTGAGCTCAAGGATTTGTTTTGCTCAGCTTTGATATGTTCTATAGTTTCTGCTGATAATAAAACTTTTTGGTCAAACTGGAAACAGAATTATGAGGATAAATTTCCATGCTTTAAAAAGGACTTGTAAAAAAAAAAAAAGAGTAAGAAATCTCTCTTAAACTAAACATTGCATAAGCAACAAAACAGTGTTTAGGCCAGGAGGGCAGACCTGGGAAGAATTAAGTCTAGAAGTAGTTTGTGAGGAGATGAAATAGAAAGGTATTCCTACAAATCTGAGACAAAATTAATTTAGCTTAAATGCACTAAGACAAACTATTCAAGAAACATTAAATGCAGCTAAAGAACCAATCTGATCTGTCAAGAAGATGGAGCTGGTAGGAGAGTATTGCAAGCACAAGTGGGAAGCCTTGTCCCCACCATAGTCACTTAGAGAATGAAACAGAAGAGGTCACACCAAGGGAGGTGTTCTTACCTCCACATCAGGACTCACCTAGGACCTGGCCACTGAAATACTCAGAGCTGTGTCAGGACATGGCAGATGTCTCTTTACCTCCCTTTGCTTTTTATATTTCCTTGAACTGACTATTGTTTTGCAAGAAGGAGGGGGGGAAAAGTATATTTTTCTGAATTTGTTTTCCATAACTCCGATGTAACATTAGAACAATTTATGTCTCAGTCCTCTTTACTCTTTTGCTGTTAAAGTTCAGCCCCCCTAGATTGTTTTTCCTTTAGGATTGACATCTTGTGTATATGAATGACTAGCCCCTGACACACCTGCCTTAAAGGCCTTTTTTTCAGTGGTAAGGTAAAATTGTGATCTGCAGACTGCAGTTTCTAGAGTGATTTAGGCAATGTTTGGATTTTTAAACCCTGATGCTGCACTGACAGGGCCTTGAAGCAGCTCAGTGATGCGGAGCTGATCCTAAAATCCCAAATCAGTTCAGCCTCAATCTGTCACAGTTTCTGCAAGCGCATCAGAATATTTCTATCCCAGTATTTCAGGAGGCTTTGCTTGTAAGTACCAGAAGTTATTTAGGGAGAGCTTCTTACTTAACTGTGAAGGAGGAAAGAATATGATTATAGACTTGGCTTTTTCTCATGAGTTCTTCTTGAGCTGGAATGTAACACAGACTGCTGCAGAAAAAACTTTATTTAATGTTTCACTAACAAAGCTACAATTACAGAAATAAGGGGTTTTTTTGCTGTTTTGTTATTCCAATTATCTATGAAGCCGGATAAAGACTTTACAGAACAGCCTAAGGCTTTACAATCAACTTGTGACAACAGTGAGAAACATACCAGCCATCCCAAATGTAACACTGGACACCTTATGCACTCATATACATGATGTGTATGGCCTATACCAAGTGTAATGCATTCGAGTGTAAGGTGCAATGCAGCATCAGCCCCTTTAGTTGGTGAGAGTTATTTGTATGAAGAAAAAAGACTATTGTTGTGAAAAAAAGGAATGAATCCTTAACTAGGGTCCTGCTCTAGCAATTGAGTCAGTTTGATAGAATTTCTTGAAGCTTTAAATGCAAAATGAGGAATAAGAGAAGAAATCTGAGTCAACTTGGGCTTTTTTTTTCCCCACTAATTGAACTGGGAGCAGAGTTGGAAGAAGGCAGCAATATCGGTAAATAAGCATGGAAAGTGAAATACCTTATGTGTCCTAGAAGAGTTTACTATTCCTGGTACAGCTGAGGTCCTGGCAACTATGTAAAACATTTCAGGGCAGCAACATCTTTTGATCTTCTCTGAATGTATGTGAAAACTAAAAGCTTTCAATTGCCAAAGTGCTAGAAGGGGATAGAATGCCCAGTTGTAAAGTAACTTGAAAATCTGAGTTCTCAGTCTCATCCCTCATCTTTTTCTCTCCAATATGATTGTACAACAGCAGAATTTGTGCCATTATTAGAAGGCTAATTTAATCACAGGGTCTCGTATAAAGGTTGTGCAGAGGTTTGCTTTAGATTGCTCGGGGACAGAAGCACACAGATATTCCTGCTAATGTCCATGGCAGCCTTGCTCTGATGGAACACTGCCAAAAATACAGGTTCCCATGTGTTGTCAATTGGTGTTGTTCCCTTGACTTGAAGGGATTTACTGGTTTACATCTGCTGAGGATCTGGTCTGTATGGTGATAAGGTCTGAGACATGTAATAATGGCATTGCAGATATGTGCTGGGGATATGGAACAGAGTCTGTGACAAGCAGCAGCTGCTTTTGGGAGATGGCACTAGTCTGATGTTAAAAACAATATGAAGAGGCAAGTTGGCATTACTCTGGGAGCTGATATTTTGGACACTGTTGTCCAGGTGCTACACATGTATTTTTGGTAGGAATACTGAATGTGACCAGTCATTAGTACAGCAGTGATTGGTTGAGCTAATCAGCGTAGCAGGATGCCGGGGTCAGAACTGCTTGAACCTTTTTTGTCTCCCCCTGGTAGAGGAATGGGAAGGTTGTGGTGTAGCACTTGTCCCTGTTGTAAGTATAGCAGGTTTCAGGTTCATTGCAGGAGTTGCTCTGCTGGGCTTGGTATATCTCACCACCCAGCTCAATTTCTACAGGATCACATTTTTTGCAGCTGGAAGAGATGGAGAATAGAACAAGTGTTAAAAGTGGTGAGGAAATGATGCACTTGATGAGACCCAAATCTTCCTTGCTGGCCAGCAGATGTGGCTAGGAGAGTGCTGTGGCCTGTCTAGGTTTTACACAGGAGCTCCCAGCTGGAAGCTTTTAGTGTTGTCAAACTGCTGTTGGCAAGACTAGTTCCTAAAAGGGAGGGTTAAACAGGCAACGTGTAATTTGCTGATATTTAAGACACTTGAGATAAACAGTGATCAGAACGAAATATTCCTTGTAAATGTGAGACTTTCTATGTGAATTAATCATGGAGATGACAATTTCTTGGCTTGTAACAGAACACTGAAGCTAGGCTTTGTGAGGAAAGCTTTTCTCTGTGACCCCGCCTCACCTTCTCTACTGGCCTTCAAGCATGTTCTTGAACTGCTGTGGGCAATGCTGCAGGGGAGGTTAAGTCTTCAAAAATGGACTTGGTACATGAAATTACTTACAGTTCAGCCATGCGGTAGACAAAAGTGGTTCTGAGTGGGGACGTGGGGTCAGAGATGTTCTCTCGAGCCTTCAGGGGGACTCTGCAAAGGAGGGAAGAGAACAGGCTTCAGGAAAACTGCTTATTAAAGGAGAAACTACTCTGCTGTGAACAATTCTCAACTCTAGTCTTGTTCTTCAGGTTATTTCCATTCTGACACTTCTCCATAGCAAAGCCCAGGAAAGGCAGATCTTGGCCCTTCTGTGCCCTCAAAGGCAACAGCCTTTCCCAAGAGGACTGCAGCAATTTCCAACAGAGCTGCTTTCAAGGTGACAGTGCTGATAATATTTTTTTTAAACTCTGAGCTGGCAGATGCCCAAGAGACTTGCAGGACATACAGATGTTTAATTAGTGTTTTTCCTGTTGTGAGCTCTACCAGAACTGCTGCAGCTCTGGGCCTGAACTTGATCCATGTTTCCGAGAGACACACACACACTTCTGTGTGAATAAAGAGGACAAAATCCTACTCTTGATCTGAGATCTGCCTCATAGTATTAACCTTTTCTGATAATTCAGGCACTGAAGGGCTTTCCCAGCCTGTAAACTAGCAGGCTTGCTATCAGATTGGTAAATGAGTCCAGTGTCACAGGCCACATCTGGTTTCAGCTGAGATCAGCTGTAGAAATGTTACACTCCACTTCCCCAGCTTATTTGGTAAAGTTACTACTGCACAGCTTAAAACATGGAGACGCTTTCTGTATCTGAAGGGACAAATACCAGATAGCTTCGTGTGATCTAGAAAAGCATGAAGCAAAAGGAAATATTCCAGGATACCATAGAAAGCAGCCCGTGGAAAAAACAGTTCACTTAATCAAAGCTAAGACATGGGGGAGAAGGCAAAGGAAAGGGAACTCGGCAATACTTCATCTCCTGCTCCACATCTCCACATAATACTTGTCTGCCACTTACATGATGCGTATGTTTCTCTCCAGGATTTTTTCATCAGGATTTTCTTTGGAGGGGACAAACTTTGAGGTCACTGTTACACACTGGCACTTGTTATTGACCAGCACATACTCCTCGTCCTCAGAGTCCTGTCGATAACCTGCAAACACACGATCCAAAACAAAAACCTTAAAATCTGCTTTAGCAGAGAGCCAAGTGATGAGGATGCCAGAAACACACCATTATGGCATCTGAAATGATCAATATCTATGTTGCAACGGGTACAAATAAGCCTCTTGGCAAAAATGAGTTCAGCTGCCTTTCCTGCTCAGCCTACAGTATTCTCCTGTGAGTGGAGGTGATGGGACTGGGAAGGAGAAAACCTTGAACTCAGGCACTGTGTGGCTGCTGAGAGGCAAACATGCAGGGATTGCTCAGGAAATGGGAAGCAAGGCACCTCGCAAGCCTCGAGCTGCAGCTGGCAGCTGAAGTGCTGTTTTTACCCTCATGGGGGAGGTTACCCAATTCCTCTGTCATGCACCAGGACTATTCCAGCAGTCCAAACCCTAGGTTGGATCTGGCCTCTAAATAAAAGCCTCTGACCTTGCCAATGTGGCAGATAAGTCAGTTTTCTTTGAGTGACATGTTATCCTTCAGGTCCCTGAGGGAACAGATGCTGAAAAGCACTACAGGACCCAGCAAGAAGGCAGCCTGCTGACCTGGCAGTGAAAGGCAAGTGGCCCTTATGATGCTTGTGGTTTGCAGGGAGAACTCTAGTCCTGATTTTCCTACTCAGAGAAGAACCAGCTTGGGTATGTCTCCTGCACTCTTAGCATGCTATTCAATAAGAAACTCAGTCAAAACAGGGGAAAACATTCCATCTGTCAGCCAGAGGCTTTTTGAATCTTCTTGGTGGCACGCAATGCTTTGTTCCTGTGCAGGGAGATGGATTTGAAATAGCTTGTGCTTTGCTAGTTGGTTTTCCCTGACCCAGAGCCTCTGATCTCTACACCCATAATAAGCCAGCCTTGCTGTTATATGCACCCACAGTCCTAGATATGCATATATGTGCTCTTAAGTGGTTGTTTTTACATCCCTCTACATTTCTAAATGCTGCAAAAATCAAGTCCACAGCCATTACTTTGCAGCACCACTCCTCCTACAGCATCTTCAGCCTGCTTAGAAGTACCAAAACCAGTGATTTTTGTAAGATGGCAGTAGTTAATATGATACTCAGATAGATCTCAGTTCTGGGGACGTGCCTCCTGTGCTCGTCCTTGGGTTTAACCATGGAGAGAAAGAAGAAAGATGCTGAAAGCGTCTGTGTTCATCATGTCTGTGGAGGATTTCAGAGTCACTTTGACTTAAAAGCTTTAGTCTTCTTAGCTGAATTTCTTTGAGTTACCAAAGTGTGGCTCAGTAAGGAAGTAGACACAAGCTGTGTAAGCGCATGTCCTTTTTCTTAATCTCCATGTCCAAAGCTGCTGTGCTTCATGAACAACAGACCCTGTTGCTGAAGGGTGAAAGGGACAGCTCAAAGCCTGTGGGAGCAACAGCAAAGCTGGGATCCAGGAGCAGCACATGGACTCGGAGTTGGACTACAAGTTTTCTGATCGTCAGCACCCTGTTGCTGAAGGGTGAAAGGGACAGCTCTCGAAGCCTGTGGGAGCAAGAGCAAAGCTGGCATCCATGAGCAGCACATGGACTCCAAGTTGGACTACAAGTTTTCTGATGGTCAGTCACTGTTGGCAGCAGCTTAACCATCCCATGAAGCTGTCTGCAAGACCAAACAAGGACAGGTTCTCTGCAGTGGTGACTAGCTGAGCCCACAGGTATCTAGTCCAGACAATGTAATGCAAACAGCATTCCAAGTTTTCTACCTAAGGCTTCTTAGAGCTTCCTTCCTGCCCCTACAATACGCTGATCTCATCTGCTTCCATTCCACTGGCTTGTTTTCCAAGATCCTTACAGGCCCCCTAATTGTGAAAAAGGCACCTAAACTGTGTAAAACGATGCTCAGAGTGACCCTACAATGCACCTGCTGGTTACAGATGCTGTTGTGGTGCTGACTGACAGTGAATACCTTCAGAAGAAGATTAACTGTGCAGTTTGTCGATTGGAAAGGGAATGACTTTGCTTTGGGAGGTGGTGCAAGCCACTGCAGGCATGCAGATGTACTTTCTTCTGCTCTCGTGGTTTTCTTTATCCCTCTACAGCATGTCCCACTATAGCCTGTGCCCGCTGAGCCCTTAAGAGCAAGGGCTGGCTTTTGGCATTTCTCTGTACAACTGGCCAGCTGTACAAATGCCACTGCAGAATGTGCAGGTAGGAGTGAAAGTCCAGTCCTAGTTCTGACTGCAGTGTGCTCCACCAAGGCAGAAATACATAATCCTGTCTGACACACAGAGATGGTTATGTGGAGTTTAATGGTTCTTGTCTCTTTGTGCCCTGTGTTCCAATCCCTGTTGCTCTGCATGCTGCTTCTTTGCCAACTCATCACTCAACGTGGACATTCCCCCTGAAGCAGAAGCTTACTAGAAAAGCCTCTTGAGTGTCTGCCTCCTCCAGTCTTGGCCTTTCTTTTGTCTTCTAGAAAGTCTCTGGCTTCTTGTCCTTTACGTACATCTTCCTCTGGTGTCTGCCACTCCATTCTATGTAATGTCTGCAATTCTATTTAAGCCCTTCATCTAAAGCCCATATTCATGTCAGATCCCATTGGCTCTGTGAGTTGTCCCAAAACCTTTGGGAGCAGTTTTTAATTCATCTTATAAAATTATATTAATATACTGTTATGAATACGCAGGAGGTTTTTGACTGTACTCTAAAATTATTGTCCTGATTTAATTCCTTGTGTAGTAATCTTGGTGTCTGTAAGCATAAAAGTTACAGGTACTCCATTTTCTTTTAAAATAAAATTAAAAAGCTGCAAAAAAAAATCAGTTTTATCAGCAATACTTCCATGTATCACCACATAAAGTCCCTTTGAGGAAAAAAGTTAAATACAAAACTTTACTAGTGTCTTCCTAAATGTCTGCAGGTTGGATTTTCTTGTGCACTATATACTCCAATACAGCGTTCCCTCCCTCCTCAACACTCATGTTGGAGATTATTGTGACAAAATTGTTCCTCTTTCAATATTGGGTTGTCCTGTAATATACTGTGAAGCCCAACAGAATCCAGCTGCAGCACAGGGAAGAAGCAAATGCATTCTGAAACTATCTGTTCAAAGTCTGCTGCAGGTGCAAGCAGCTGCTACTTGAATAAAGTAGGAAGAGGATCATTTAGCCCAAAAGTACTTTAATTTCAACATAATTAGTAAAAACAGCACTCTTGCCATATGACAGGATTACCAGGAAGATTTTAGAAGCCTTTTAATCTAGCAGGTAACAGTCTTGCAAGCTTCCTAGCACTGCAGAAAAGCAAGCATGCATGTTTGCATTTTGTTGCTTCAGATACCCGATCAAAAATGTCTAATCATGAAGTCTTAAATTTGCAGCCAGTCATCACTTTTTTTTAGGCTCAAGGCAGCATTAAAAGTACACAGCCCTGTGGTGCAGAAAGACACTGAGATGTCCAAGCACCACTGAAGCGTGACTGCTTGAGCAGGCTTTCAGGTTTGATTTTTGACTCTTAGAAATATTAATGGCAGATCACACAACTCCTCACTTATATCTTAAGCAGTTTAACATGCTCTTCATTTTTCACCTACCTGCCACAAGGACAAACCCCAAGGAGATGGCCAAGGCTGCGCACAGCACCCAGGAGCTCTTCATCTTGCCTTCCCTTCTTTTGAAGAAAGCGAGTGGAGAGCCTGTGTCTGCCTATAAGGGTGTGTGCAAATGATACAGCTCTGTTTCCTAAAATAAACAGCTCAGCTAGTTAGCACTGACACTGTGGAAAATGTGGCTGGGGACTGAAACCAGGCATGTTTGATGCACAAAGACCTCGGGCTCTCAAAGGTGAAGGGGGGCAGGGGGTTGCAGTATTACTGTGCATTTTTATTCTGTTCATCACTAACAAGGAACAAAGCTGCTGAGTGCAAGGGCGTGCAAAACCACTCTGGTCCTTAGGGAATATCTTGCCATCAGGGCCAGTGGCACTCTTCTTACCTGGGAGTGAGGTAAGAAAGTGTCCAGATAGCCAAGGGGCCATAGCTCTGGTTGCCAGTTTTGAGAAATCAGGTTAAAGATCACTTGACTCATATTATAACAATACTTCAGGCTTCAAGATCAGAATCCTCTTTGCACCAGATTCTGTGGAAACCTATATGAAGGGCTTGACCTGCCCCCAAAGAGCTTGCAGTCAAAGCAGACAAGAGGGAAGAGGGGAGGGGTACAAGAGGTTAAGCAGCAGCAGGTCTGTGGCAAAGCTGACCTCTTTCTCCAGCTCTGCCCACTCTATTGAGGAGTTTCTTCCCTTAAAAATGGAAAATGGATTCCATGGGATTCAGGGTTTATGAAAGGTTCTGAGTTGGGTTCCAGGCAACTTCTCTGAGGTATTGGGCAAGCAGCCTTTTCCTGAAGGACAGGAGTACTGGAGAGGACCTGAGATTTGTTTGTCCCAGATTTGGGATCACCTGCATAGCTCTGAAGAACAAATACTGCAATGTAACCTGCGATGAGCAGAGCTGTCTCTGAAGCATTTGTCTGTGTCTTGTGCAGAAAAAGACACTTTAGAAGGGAAGCCCACTCCTAGCAAGGTTCTCCAAATACCTACATCAGGGACAAAAGGGGAGGCAGAGCAAGGTATGATGCTGGCAGGCCCACTCTTAGCCAAGGTTATTGCATCAGTGTTTCCTGAATTTCTCTGACCTGCAATATGTTTCTCTCAATTCACGTGAGCAGCACATGGTAAATTTCCCTGTGTTCTCCAGCTTTTCTTTAGATAGCAGAGCAGCAGCCCTGTGACCAGTGACAGCCTGTGCCACCCTTGGCTCCCTGGGGTGGCTCTTGCCTCGCTCTCAAGAGGCTGAAGTCATTAGGCAATGCTGCCAGGCATCCCCATTCCTGAAAGGGCAGCCTGTCACCTTACAGCCTCTCTTCCCTTTCTTCAGACCTTGCTGGCTGCATCCCCAACCCTAGGGCTGTTCAAAGACCCCAGAGTCTGTGTCCTGAGCTTTTTCTCCCAGCGCACACATCTCATCTGGCAGTTGCATGATGCAATGAGCTTTTGTGTTGCATCAGCAGCACTCACATACAAGGTTTCCCCTGGGAGGTGGGGGGGGATGATGGGTGCCTCCAGGATTCAAACCCTGCTAGGGCATCAAGTTATGTCATAATTCTTCTTTACTGACCTTGTTTTCTCCCTGGGGCTCCATCTTTAGGAGGGCAAAATTGATTTTTTTGTTCCTTTTTCTCCTCTCTGGAAAGTATTGCCAAGAGTTTTATGTGGAGCTCTCTTCTGAAGCAGCAGCAAGATATTCCCTGTGCCCCCATCTTTTGCAGAAGGTTAAAAATAAACCTGGCTAACCATGGGGTGGTAGCGGTGTCTATCTAAAGCACTATTTGTTTCAGGCACCTTTTTATAACAAAGTAGGAGGTTTTTTATTATTATCCTTTTTAGAAATATACAGAAAGGAAGGATGCAGGCAGCAGAATAAAGTATGTGTAAAAGAGGCTGGTTCTGGTCTGTTTTGCCAAACTGCACTGATAGAAATATGTGACTGGTGAAATCTAAGCAGAGGCATCCAAGGGTATTTTCAAACCCGAAGGGAGAGACTGAGCAGGATTATATTCTGGGTGATTCTGTAGATTTTGGTGGTTTCCCTGACTGCTGGTGCTCAGCGCATCTGAATTTCGGTTGCTAAATCTGCAGGTCTGCATACAGTCCCTCTGGTCTGTATATGATGCTGTGAGAGCTATTCTTAGTTCCATTCAGCCACCTGCGTGTCTCTGGGGATTTCTGTCTAGATTAAAGCTCTTTAGAGGAAGATTTGTTTTATGGACTGTTATTTTTATGGATTATCCCTTTTTTTACTGTGTGACACTTTCTATTACCAGAAAATTATCTGGGGAAGCAGGCGTTAAAGAACTGTGGCAGTCTGGCAAGGGGCTGGCAAAACATCATGCCATATTTAAATTCTGGGTTGAGTGGGGAGTGAGACTCCCAACCTCAGTGCGAGGCAGAGGGTAGTGGAGGAATAATTGAGAATTTGATAAGAAATGGGAACTAGTCTTGTCGTCTCAGTCTCCTTCACTTGTCCTGGACATGCTGAATTAGGATTTTCCAGGTGAGAAGCTAAGCACGTGCCCAGATGAAGTGAAGCAAAATACTGTGTCTTCGTGTGTCCTTGCTAGGTTGGGTGAGGAATGGAGAGGACAGCTGTACCAGGGCACGGGGTACCTTCAGGTAACACACCACCACTACCAGTCTGCCCTGTGGCTTTCTTTTCTCCTCATTCTCACTCAGGAGCGAAGAAAATGGTGAATTAAAAGAGACCAATTATCATATTTGTAGCAGTGATTCCCCTGATGCTTACAGCAAACCAGTGTGGTTTGGGTTGAGCAGTTCCTGATAACTGGATGACCTCACTTACATGGGAGGTCATCTCCAGCTTGCCCAGAAGTGGATGACATTTTCAGCAAGTCCTGGAGGAGTTTGAAATGTCTGTAGATGCTATGTCTTTTCTGCTCTTGGAAATTAACCTTGGAGTGAGAGACATGTCAATTCCATTGAAGTTCCTGAGAGTCCAAGGGGAAGTTTATGTGTTGTTAAGGCTCTGAATTTTGAAAGGGCAGACTTTGAAAAATGAGGCTGCTCTATTGTGAGGGCAGTTAGACAGAAAATGTCCGGGACACATTGAAAGCCTGGGTTTCTGCAGGTCACATTTGCCAAGTTATCTGGAATTTTAACTGTGCAGAAACTGACTGCAGATGGGCTCCACACAAAACACGGTATGATAAAGCAGCGAGGTTACCAAGTGTGATGGGCAGAGATGGCTGGTTTTTAATGGCCAGCTGGTATAAAGTGAGAACTTCCTCCGAGGTGCAGCTAACAAATGAAGTAAGTGCTATGTGTCACTTATTAAAACCTAGTGATTCTGTTTGCTCTCTCATTCAGGCCTGCACCCAGGGGAGGTGATATCTGGAAATTGGCACAGCCGGATTGGGAAAGGTGTCTTAATCTGAGGCAAAACCGACCTTTGGTGCAAGAGCATCTACAGAAAATTTTGACCTGGAAGGGACTGCGGAGAAGCTAAGTGTGTCAGAAAAAAGGCTCGTAAGTGAGACTTGTCTGCCATCAGATCTACCAGACTCCAAATGAATCACCAAAAAGTGAGTGAAGTTGTGCACGAGCACATCTGCTCTGTTTCAGTTAACTTGAATTTTGCTTGACGTGTCTTTTTCCACAAGAAGGTGGGCAGGAGTACTTATAAATAAAACTGCACCTGTTCTGTGGTGAGAAAAAAACCCACCTGCACTTGCTCTACACACAGCTCCTCTTGCTGGGATATGTGGCTGCTTAATTAAGAAGGCTCTGGGTTTCTGAGCTCAGACTAAACTTGGATTCAAGGAGCAGAGAGGACAGGGAAGAAGCAGCAGCAGCCCAGCTTTGCAGCCTGCCTTCTCCTTACAGCCTGATGGCTGATCTGCAGCCTGTAGGAACCAGCCTGGTTCCTGCTAGGAGATGCCTGTGTCCTGGTCAAGATGCAGTGTGGTGAAAGGAGGGACTTGGGAGAGTTAGTAGATGTACCTCAGATGTGTCCATGGAGGTTTTTAATCTTTCATTTTATCTCTGAAACTTTGGTCTGGTTGTAGGGAACTGAGTAATGAGAAGTTTCGGTTAAGAAGGGGACAGATGGCAGATGTGCTTTCTATCCCCCCCCGTCGCTGTAAGATTACTGTACAGACAGCAGCTGTGTCTGTGCTTTCAGGGGAAGAAAAACCCCTGAGGAGTAAAAATCATCAAATGGTTTGGGTTGGAAGGGACCTTGAAGATCATCCAGTCCCTCCCCAGCTTTCAGGTACTGGGAGGCTGCTAGAAGGTGTCCCCAAAGCCTTTTGTTCTCCAGGCTGAACAGCCCTACCTCTCCGGAGCACCCAGGGGTTCTCTTTTCTCTCCGGGTGCCACTATTCATTGCTGGTATGTGCCAGGGCTGTAAAGAGCCCTGGCTCCGTGGCTGTCCGTGCCACTGGACCCTGCGTTACCCCATGGGAAAGGGAACGGGAGCAGTAACCTGCGGGAGCCCCCGCGCTGCAGTGGCGGCATCTGGCCCG